AGATCTCGAGTGCATCTTTACTGTTATTTGCAATTTGTCAAGAAACCTGAAAGTCTGGATGAAGCACATGAGATGGCAGAGCTATATCCACAAAAATCGCCCAACAACCAAGCGATAAGCCTGCTCTGCGCTTGAAGATGTAATTTAGCTTGACAGTAATCACTTCAGCTTATTGAGTTATGGCGGTGTTGTCTCATATATTTCATTTTCCCCTTGCAGCCTGTTCAACCTCTACAATCTGTTGGAGAATCCATACAGCCGTTTCTTTGTTTACATGAAGGCCTTGAATTTGGCAGTCAATGGAAAGGTCACTGAAAATATTGTACCTTCTTTCAAAAATGGATAGTTTCTTGAGGGAATGGAATGTTGGGATCAAGGACCAGAGAGAACTCTTTCTTACCATCTCAAATGTTTTGACGGAAAATAAAAGGTAATATAGAAATTGTGGCTCATGAAGAAGCACTATTAATTCTCTTTGGTTGTGTGGCTTTTAAGTTTTTTTCTTTCTCATTGATTTTGTGGATTAAGTTATCTAATTTGTCTGCATCATCCTATATTTCCAGCTCGGCAAAGGATTCTTTCAAATTTCTGACCAAGTATCTGGCAACTTTTTCTGGTGAAGATGCACATACAATGGGCGAAGCGAAGGAAGAAGCTGTACGCACTATTATTGAATTTGTTAAGGCACCTGACATGTTTCAGGTATTGTTTTGTCCTACTGATTTTAAATTGATCTTGCTTTTGCTTTTTTTTAAGGATGATACTTGGAGGGTGAGCTGTGTGGGGGAGGGAGGGTGAGGAGGGAGCGAGGGTTTTCACAAAGAGGGAGTGAATTGGTTTTGATCCATTAGTACACAAATTTAGGATTTGCTTTTGATACACATGTTTTGTATGGTATATGTTCCCTTTATTCTTATTTTGGATATGTCTTTTAAAATTGTTTCATGCTTCCACATGTATTCTCTTGAAGTTGTAGGAAAGGCTAGTTGAGTTGAGTTGAGTTGAGCTGCCCAGATAATTATTCTGATATGGTGCTTCTAAAAATACTGCTAATGTATCTCCAGCGTCATTTGCTATTGTTTGTCACTTTGGTGCGTTTTCTTCCTGTAAGTATTGTTTGTAATACTCTTCGGACACTTGACTCACCCAAAAATGACTCTCAAACATTACGGTGTTTATCTGAGTCCTTTTGTGTGCATCTTTTATAGTTCAACAATTACAGTGGGAAATGTTCTCCATTTAAATGCACATTTTGTGCTTATTGAACTTTCATGGGTAATTGTTTTGAAAAGAGGAAATGTTGACAAGATGTCCATCCCTTTTTCTTGCTTTACCTTTTCCTCCCTCTGCTAGATTACATTATTGTGCAGTGTTATGCCTGGCATGGATCCATTAATAACCTTCCCATTGGTATTTGGTAACCCAATAAGGCAATTTGAGCACTTTGTAGATAAGGTGAATGTGATAGCTTGAACTCTTCTCATTTATGAATATGCTTAGCTTCAATGCTACTGTATAGTGATCAATCAACTTGAGGCATGTCATAGCTTTTGTTTCTGATTTCTTGAAGTCCTTACACTGAGGCTGGTGGCATTACTTCTGAGCTTTTCCGTACGTCTTCAACTGATTGATTTTCAACTGATTGATTGTTGTATGGGCATTCTTTATTATTTGCTGTATTGTGAACCATTGTTTTCATCACTTTCAAATTTCCTTGTTCTTATAGCTTGCTTTCAAACATGCAGTTTTTTTTCAGCCGGAACTTTCAAATATGCGTTAGCATTCATGTTGCTTTCAAATTAATGAAATTGTCTTGTTTCCTGTCAAAAAAATGTTACTGTGTAGTCTGTAATGAAGTTAAATTATATTCCAGCTGGTGCTTAACTTAATCAACTCTCCGCATGGTCGTGGCAGTGTGATTTGCTGGATATGCCCGCTGTGGCACAATTGGAAAAAGATGCTAAATATGCGTTGGTATACCAACTTTTGAAGATCTTTCTGACTCAGAGGCTGGATGCATATTTGGATTTCCAGGCGGCAAATTCTACTTTACTTAAAAGCTATGGTAAATATCTCCTTTTGCTGTTTTGCCATCTAAATTTTAGGCTGCTACTTGGGTTAAGATTCAGATTTTGGATATATTTAATCTTTTAGACTGAAATGTGTTCTTTGGATGGCGTAGGTCTTGTCCATGAAGATTGTATAGCAAAGATGAGGCTGATGTCATTGGTGGATCTTGGCTCTGATGAATCCGGCCAAATTCCTTATGCTCTAATTAAGGACACTCTCCGGGTAATTTTGCTTTTCCTTACCCATATCAGCAGCTGTTGCTTTTTACTTCTTTGTTTATCACGTTGGCGTGGGATTCCTTGCAGATTAATGATGACGAGGTGGAGTCATGGGTAGTTAAGGCAATTGCGGCAAAGCTAATTGACTGTAAGATTGATCAGATGAATCAAGTTGTAATTGTGAGGTGCACTATAAAGTTACCTATCTCTTTGGATATTTGTGTGCTTTGTTTCTATATGCTATAATAAAGCTGTGGACATTATCATTTACTTGGTCTATGACATGTTTTTTTCATTGTAGCCACTGTGTTGAGCGCGTGTTTGGGCTGCACCAGTGGCAAACCCTCCGAACAAAGTTAGCAACATGGAGGGTAAGGATTCCCTTCATTCTCTGTGTTTATTAATCCACTTTTGGTCCCTTGCGTCTTGTTGAATCATCCAAATCTGTGTTTAAAAGTCAAATAATAATGTCCTTTGGCTAATCAACATTCAATAATTTCACTATGTTGACAAGACTATGATATTGACACTGAAAAAGAACTTCAAGCAATCTAAAAGAATAATTTTCAAAAGAAAGAGTGGAATTTCCTTCCAAATAAAGACACTGCAAGTCTTCTATGGCCTGCATTTGCTGGTGTTTTCCTTGGGACCTTCCACGAAAAGCTAGTATATGCCAACTATTTTTTATTTTTTGTGGAACTATTCTTTTGATTCATTCCCTTGACGATTACCTTTGCCAGGCTAACATCTCAAATGTAATTAGTACCATTCAAGCTAACAAGGTGACTGAAGATGGGACTGGGCCAATGCAAGGTTTGTCGATACGCTAAGATTTTTCCTCCATTTGCCGTTTAGTACCGTAATCATCTTTATTTAATCTTGGAGGTTGAGAGAAGTTCGTAGCTGTTTTGGTTTTGCCTGAAATGTTACATGGGCTGGTTTATGAGTAACAGAACCATGATTGTTCTTTACCCTCTTTTTTTTATTCACTTCCAATTGTACGTTTCTTGTAAGTACCATAACTAAGTCCGTAGTAGATTATCTTTCTCCGAAAAACTCTTCTAGAATTAGGAGGTACAAATAAAATTACTTGAAATTTTGTTTTATTTGCTTTGATGATTTTAAGACTTTTTTGATGTTAGGTGCAAATATTAAAGAAAAATATAACAAAGAATGGAGGAAAATGGTGTTTCGGTCAATCACTCTCTCTCTCCTCACCACCACCACCACCACCACCACCAAAAAAAAAAAAAACCCACAAAACCAGATCTTCTCACCGTTTATATAGACAGGAATTTATAGTTATACGCATGTTTGATGAATGACTTGTCGACATTTGAGAGTAAAAGGTTAACCTAGTGGCAGTTTAATCACCTGATAAATTTGTCATGAGGATAGATTAAGGGTTTGAATATTTCACGAAGCCTAGTTCTTAGGGTTGCGGCCCATCTTACAAAAAAATATTTTAGTAGTTTTTAAAATTTACATATCGGCAATTTGGGTCTTGGGTAGGTAACAGAGCTCTCGTAATAGAGCCATTATCAATTTTGTCCTCTTCCGAAGTGGTGCAAGCTCTCATAATAGACATTGGCCATTCATTTCTCATCCACTTTTTAGTACTTGAGCTTGTGATCTATCTCGTATCATTCTCGTGCCAAACATTAGACTTTGACCGGAGGATTTCACACGACAGTGCAAACTCCCTTATTGAGCACTTTATGGTATCTTGCCCGGTGACTGGATTACCCTTGTAACACTTAGACTCTTGTGAATTGTTAATATATTCGTTAGTAAATTATACACATATTTTCTAAAATTTATAAGTGTATAATATTTAAATCCCTCAAGTTTAAAATGTTATACTTATATCAAAAATATTTTAATTAAAGATAGAATATCAAATATTTTAAATTTATAATCAAAATTTATGTTCTATTGTATTATTTATTGAAATAAAATCAAAAATAAAAAGTCAATTTTTAAAAAAAATCGTAATTAGTATACAATTATACTATTTATTGGAATAAAATTAAAAAATCAAACAAGGGGTCTAACTCATACATAATAAGACAAAAAATTCATGTTATATTATGTCATTTATTGAAATAAAAATTTAATTTTTTAAAAAAAAATTGTATTTAGTGTACAAATATACTATTTATTCGAATAAAACTAAAAAATAAAATAGGAGTCAAACTATAATGAAAGCAATATATTCTAACTTTAATTGGAGTAATCTGATAATTTATTTTAGATGTTTAAATAACCAAATTAAATTCTAATAGATAATATAATTATATACTAATTATGATTTTTTTAAAAAAAATTAATTTTAATTTTTAATTTTATTTTAATAAGTGTCATTATAGAATAAAAATTTTGGTTATAAAATTTAAAATATTTAATATTTTATCTTTGATTGAAGTATTTTTGGTTTAATTATAACATTTTAAAATTGAATGGTTTAAGTATTACACATCTACAAACTTCAGTGAGTCTGATTGTAATTTACTAACGGATATAGTAGACGGCAGGAGTTTAAGTGTTACTCGCGTACAAATTTTGAAGGGTCTGTTTATAATATCACTAATGCTATTGTGACATAATTTAGTAATATAATGAGTTGTCACCAATGAAAAGATAGTGAAATATATTTAATGATGAGTCTTATTGTAGCATTAATAAATTTATTATCATATTATTGGTAATAATTTATTATGTCTATAAATTATATTCTAATAACAATACTCATATAATATTTTAAATATTAAAAAGTTTGAGTGATTAGCATATAAATATCTTGAGGTGTTGCCTTGGGGAAAAAAGTACGAAGCTGACTTGGGAACGCGATATAGCCGCCCAGGAATCAATCCAAAACCAAAGTCTTCCAAGTCCACGCAGCCTTTTACCAGTACATTTCTTCTATACATAACCTCTACTTCTTCATCACCATTACCCCTTCAGCTTCATCATCAGTCACCAGACTCACCACCATCATACACCATATCTTTCAAAGCTCATACCACCCATGTTCACCATAACTCTACACATCTCCTTCTTTCTCTACCTCCTCTTCTACACCACCGCCGCCGCCGCTACAATCGGCGACACCGCCAACGCGACACCTTACATTCCGAGCGACTACTTTCTCCTCGACTGTGGTTCATCTTCTAGTTTGAACGATGCCGAAGGCCGGAAGTGGAGCGGAGATGCCCGCTCCAAATTCTCGCCGTCAAACATTTCAAACACATCTTTGGAATCTACAGCATCCAAGCAAGACCCTTCTGTCAATCGAGTCCCCTACATGACTGCTCGTATCATTCACTCTCAATTCACCTACACCTTCCCAGTCTCCATCGGACCAAAATTCATTCGTCTCTATTTCTACCCAGTTAATTACTCTAACCTGGACATAGCCAACTCTTTCTTCTACGTCACCTCCGGCGGCTACACCCTCTTAAGCAACTTCAGTGCCTTTCTCACTGTCTCTGCCATGAAACCCGCAGTTGCTTCCCTAAGAAAGGAATTCATCGTCAACGTTAGGAACAACCAGATACTGAACATAACCTTTTTGCCGTCTCCGAACTCTTACGCCTTCGTTAACGGCATTGAAGTCGTTTCAATGCCGGAAAATCTCTACATTCCCGGCAGTGATCATCAAATTCTACTAGTCCCGAACCAAATAGTTTTCAATATTGATAACAGCTCTGCTCTTGAGACTCTCTATCGATTAAATGTTGGCGGTAATGAGGTCTCAATAACCAATGATACCGGAATGTTTCGTTTATGGCTTCCGGACGACGATTACACCTACTCAGCTTATGGGTTTCCACCTCACAGGGAAGTCTCAATCCAATATACAAAGGACACACCACCTTACACTGCACCGCAGATCGTTTACACAACCTCAAGGACCATGGGCAACGACAGTTTAAGATACAATCTGACATGGAAATTTCCTGTTGATTCTGGGTTTTATTATCTTCTCAGACTCCATTTCTGCGAGATTCAATTGGAGGTGACCCTCGAGAACCAAAGGGTTTTTATAATATACATCAACAATCAAACGGCACAGAGAGGAGCAGATGTTATCCAGTGGAGTGGTGGCACTAGAATCCCAGTGTTCAAAGACTACGTCATCATGGTCACCGACCCAGATGGTCGCCAGAGCAAGCAAGACTTGTGGCTCGCTATGTACCCTGAGCTCGACTTTAGACCTGAGTACGCTGATGCTATATTGAATGGTTTAGAAATCTTCAAATTGAGTGGAAAAGACGGCAGTCTCGCCGGGGCAAACCCTGAACTTGTACTCAGTCCACTGCCAGGACCACCCACCTTGTCACCGCAGAAGAAGAACAATAAAAAAACATCTAGTCTGCCGGTCATTATCGGCACCGTAGTCGGAGGAGGGTCTGTTCTAGTCTTCATCTTAGGTTTCTTGATTTTTCGACGACGGAGGAGAGTGAAAGCCTTGGGCTCAACACAGCCCAAGTCGTCGTGGGTCCCCTTATCTGACGGTTCAAAGTCCACAAAAACCAGCGGTTCATCACTACCGTCTGATCTATGCAGACGCTTTTCACTTGAGGAGATCACATCAGCTACATGCAACTTCGATGACAATTTTGTCATCGGGGCAGGAGGATTTGGTAATGTGTATAAGGGCCACATCGACAACGGTGCAACCACCGTTGCGATCAAACGATTGAACCCATCATCAAATCAAGGGGCCCGCGAGTTCCAAACAGAGATCGGTATGCTATCGAAGTTACGCCACCTCCATCTGGTGTCGTTGATCGGTTATTGCAACGATAACCGTGAGATGATCTTGATTTATGATTATATGGCCCACGGCACCCTCCGTGATCATCTTTACAAATCAAAGAAACAACCCATTCCGTGGAAGCAACGCCTTCAGATTTGCATTGGCGCTGCAAGGGGACTACATTATCTCCACACAGGTGCGAAACGCACAATCATTCACCGTGATGTGAAGTCCACCAACATTTTATTGGATGAGAAATGGGTGGCTAAGGTTTCTGATTTCGGGTTATCCAAATTGGGTCCCAAGGATGTGGGTCATAGCCACGTCAGTACAGTGGTGAAGGGTAGTTTCGGGTATATTGATCCAGAATATTATAAACGACAACAATTGACAGAAAAATCCGACGTGTACTCATTTGGTGTTGTTTTATTTGAGGTTTTATGTGCTAGACCAGCTATAATTCTAAATTTTCCCGAGGAGCCAGTGAGTTTGGCTGAGTGGGCCCGAAATTCTTATAGGAAAGGGACCCTTGATCGGATTGTTGATCCTAATCTAAAGGGTGAGATTGCGCCAGAGTGTTTGAGGAAGTTTGGTGAAGTAGGTGATAGTTGCTTGCGTGATAATGGTATCGATCGTCCAGGAATGAATGATGTTGTGTGGGGCCTTGAGTTTGCGCTACAACTTCAAGAGGCAGCTGAGAAGATGGCTCACGGTGGTGGTGGGTTGCTCCCGGCAGCGTTAGCCAGTCCCTCTGCTCCTCTTCTACATGGAGAGGCAACGACCACCGATGATGATGAAGTATTTACTGGGTCAGTTGAAAACATGTCAAGATCAACGGTCAGCAATGAGAGATTGAAGTCGGAGACTGTGTTCTCTGAGATCATGAATCCCGCTGGACGTTGAGAAAGTGAATGCTCTTCGGGTGGGTCCTCCGTGGGGTCCAGATTTTTGGCCTTCACGTTGACCGACTTCTGAAAGGTCAAGTAGCTTATTATAGTCTTCTAGTTTTGTCTATTATCAGCATGACTTTTATGAAAAATATTTAGCCCATTATAAATAGGACAAAAG